CACAAATAATTTCCTTTGAATCATGGAGGRGATAGAAAAAGCAAAGACATTAAAACTATGGCTTGTTTTGTTTTATTTTTGKKTTYTTTACCTATTACAGGACAAAATTTTTTGGCTCAAAACTCAGCCTTTGTTCTGGTGATCACGTCACTGTGGGACCCTGACTCTGGGGTGTCTGACTGTCCTGAACCTTCACCTGAACTGCACAGGGACTGTTTCAGTTCATCAGAAATGCAGATTTGGCCTCTCTGTCTCAAGCTGACAGCTCTGCTATGTGAAGCAGCGAAGTGTGAGGCTCTGCATTGCTGCTGCAAACTAAAAATTGAATGATCTGCTGATAGTAATTCAGCTTGGCTCCCAACATCTCATTAAAGTTGATGCTCCATAAAAGTATCTCCACRTTGCACAAAACCATCTCAACAACAACAGAGAGGAAAGGAGAGAGTGCACACTACAGCTCTGTATTTGAGCAGGCAGGATCCCAGAGCAGGACTGCTCCGTTTGTGTCTCTGTGCTCTACAAACACCACGTCTTCAGCAGCAGCAGCATCACTTTAGAGCAGCAGACACCACGAACAAACCATGAACAAACCATGGGGTGCCACACAATGCCAACAGAGCCACAGTGCAGCCAGGGTGCCACAGCAAGGCATGACAGTGACAGACAATGACAGAGCAGAGACGGCTGCAGACTGGGAATGGGATGTGTGCGCTTCTGTGATGACATTGAGAATGGATGAGGAAAAGGACAAAAGGTCAACAAAAAAGGGATGTCAAAAATCCTCGATTTTAAATTTTGTTTMAGTGTATCAGCATTAGCAGCACCGCTTTCTCTGAAACTCCCTAACTGCACTATTCACTCATTTGCTGTGTCAGGGAAGCACTCCCTGGGGATGAACATCAGTCCTGGGGGATCAGGCATGCAAAAACTGGAGGAGATTGATTTCTCCAGCCTCAGTTAGGGCATGTCCCTCCACCTCAGGGAGCTCAGAAGGCAATTTGGGATCCATAAATAAAACACTGGTATCCCTCATACCTCTAGCAAAGGGAATTGAAGCATCTGCATGTGAAGATCAGCTCTGGCTGACACTGCCAGGTCAATGCTTTGAAGTGATCAATCACAGAATCATCACAGAATCCTGGGTTGGAAGGGACCTTGGGGCTCATCTCATTCCAAMCCCCTTCCACMAGAGCAGGCTGCCCACTCTCTCTGCTCTCACTGACCAGCCCTCCCTGCTCTTGGCTTCTACACCCCAGGGAAACCTCRTCTCGAGGATTTGATTTCCCAGCTGCTTATTCAAGGGATAACTTGACATGTATCTAAAACCAGACTGAGGAGAATGGAAAGTAAAYAATATGATTATGAGCAACTGGGCAGGACCAGGTAAATGCCCAAAGGGGATGCTTTTAAAAGCATTTAACTCACTGCAGTGTTCTTCCAAGCTTGCTCAGCATTACACCCTCCACTCTCATGGGCAAATATTGGCTGCCCTGGGATGGTTTTCTAGGCTAACTTGTCCTATGCCATCTTTCTTGGGACAATTTCATCCTGCTCAAGAACTAAAAGGAGCTGCTCAATGTTGGRAGGAGGAATGGCAAAGCTCATTGCAGGATCCAGTGGAGGTTGGTGTGCCTGGGATGGCAATTTCTGTCAAAGCCCTGATATTTCTAGAACTTGTCTTCCCAGTCCTGAAATGCCTGCTCATTCCCAAGCAGGGCCTGCTGGCAACCTTTTGGATGGACAAAAACTGCAGCTTTTCAGTTAAATACACAAAAGCATGTTGAATGGAGACGTATGGCAATTGCAACATCCCAGTCATGCCACACACACCACGCTGCTTCTTGGAACAAAGAAAAAGGTGCTGCTAAAAMTACACGTGCATTTTTACAGGTTTACATTTAGAATTTGTGATTTTCTTTGTTTTGGTTGTTTGGGGTTTTTTGTTGGKTTTTTTTTTTTCCAATCCAAACATCTATCTTGGTGCCAGGGAAGAGAACAGAACAGCTGATTTTTTAATCATCCCATTAAAGCCATAAATATAATGTGGGAAGCTCTTAATGGCTTCTGATTAATAAATGAATGGTTGTTCCATACCCTTTAATTCAAATCCAAGATGCTCTGCCAATGCAGAAAGAAGACAAGGAAGAGAAAGAGAAAAAGAAAAACAGGTCTGTCAGAGTACTCTAAAATACAAACACACACACTGTGCAGTTACAGCAGGTTAGCTTTTGGTAGGCTCAGCAGCACTCACACAGAGACACTGTACGCTTCAGAGCATTTCAAACCCCCACCACAGCTCACATGTTATGCAAAGAAAGACCCAAACAAATTGCAGTGGAAGTTAATTATGAATTCTTTCAGTTAATTATGAATTCTTTTGAGATGAGCCATGTTTGTTAGTACCTGATGTGGAATTCACTGCTTAGGCAGGGGAAAAAAATAGGAAAGGTACACTTGTTCTGAAACAACTCCTGACAGGTCAAAACACATAAAGACTGCATGAGCCTGGTAAAAACCATTCATTCCCTTTCCACAGGGCAAATCTGCCCTGGCTGGTCTCTCACACCCTGGTGAGCCCGGGGCTGTGCTGCGGGTGGGAGTGCTGGGTGTGGGGATGGGAGGGTCCCTGCTGGGGCTGGGGCTGGCCTGGGACAGGGACAGCCAGCCCAGGGACAGGGACAGGGACAGGGA